GGAGCGGGGAAGCGAGAGCGGCCGCCGCGCCCCGGCGTCACGTAGGGCCCATCCGGGTCCCGCGCGGGCGGGGCCGGGGACCGGGACTGTCCCCACACGGGGGGCGGCGGGAGCCTCCCCCCCCCGCACCGCTCACACAGCCGCGCCTGGGTCTTGGTTTGGGGTTTTTTTTCCTCATTTCTGCTCATCTGTGAGGGGAAATGCCTCATAACTCATCAGTTAATTACCCTTCCGTTAGTGAAACGCTTGTGCCGGCGCCTCGCTCTCCCTCCTCCACCGGGGGCGGGCAGCCGCCGCAGCCGGCCGGGGCCGGGGGGCCCGCCCGGCCCCTGCCGCCCCAGACAGCGGCGGCTCCGGCGTGATGAGCCGCCGGTGTCAGAGGCAGAGCGGCCGGCGGTTTCCAGGGAGAAAGCGAGGGGCAGCAGTTCCCGGTGGTGGCACTAGGGGATGCTCCGGGTTTACTTTTGCAAAAACAACTGTAGACTGGGTAAATCTGTACCAAACTGTCAAATTAACTTATCTGCTGAAGGTACTTAAACGTCGTTCATTTGCTGCTGGTTTTACAAATACACGTTAGCGGTCTCAAAATGGAGGTGCAACAACAAAAGGAACAGGAAAACCAAAACTGTTTCAAATCTTAAGAGGCAGAAGTTGTGCAAACAAGCATTTTAGCAAGAACTCTGCTCTTAAAATGGGTGGAGAAGGCTGAGGCTGCCTTCAGTTTGCCAAGAACCACCGACGTAAGTAGAAAATGAGACACAAAAACCATCCCCAAACCCCCTTACTTGAATAATCATGGTCTACGTTGACTGACAGATGCTCAAAGCTTTAGGATACAAGTTTCACAGCAGGAGTTTTCAGAAGCAGTTTCACCCCAGCGGCACCTGTCTGAACACAATTGCTTTTGAGGACCAAATTCAACAGGCTAAAAATTACCTACTTTTTAAAGTTACCTACTTTTTCCTGCAGTAAACAAATCTCACATTACTCTTTTATAGCTCTCAGTCAGTAGGATACTCTACTTTTTCCTCATCGCCCAGCTATTAAAAGCAAACAAAATGCATTCAATTGCAAATCTTAAGAGACCCAAGCCCAGGGCATTAGATCATGTCTTCTTAGTAATACGACAGTATCCTGAATTATTTAAATCTTAACTCTGAGGCAAACACATTCATTTAAATTAAAAAAAAAAAATCACATTTAAAGCATTTATTTTGAAAAATAAAATACAAAAGATCATTGAATTATAATTGTACATGTAATTTATCAACTTTTTTTTAAATAAAAGATATTTAACAATTTCCACATGTGAATAAAACCAAACAACTGATCCACCAAAAATCTTTTAGGACAAGCACAGACCACTCTTTTGAAAGCTTCATACATTTGAAACCAAACTGCTACAGGAAAAGCAAAAAATCTTTGAAGATGGAGTTTTGTAATTAAGACAGAATAACAATTTCAGAGACAGGCATTACTTTGCATTTTTTTTAAACCTTAAAAAAAATAGTTGTGCGAATGTAATACGGTTCTACATTAACATCAGTGATTTTTTTTTTTAAACAGGTTTACATGCACTCACAACAGCAAAATTTTGAACAAAAACAGTATGAAAGAAATGGGGGAGAAAATTCTGAAAAAAGCAGGCCATGAGCAGTACACCTCACTGATCTCAGTGCGACAGTCCTTTATAAGATCATTTCCATTGAAAAGGCAGCAGTCTCTTTTCTGAAGAAAAAGAAAAAAAAAGTTTGAGCTTTCAATGTAATACTCTGTTTTTATCCTTGACAACATTTTGTAATTACAAATAATGCATAATTAAGAGTAACCACTGTTATCTCAGTAGGTGAAAAGTCACTGTCAAGACTAACCACAGCCACCAAAAACTTTCCTGTAAGGAATGTGGCTGCCTTTTCCATCATTTATCATCAGAGTCACTTCTTGAAGCATATTCAGATGTACAAAAAATATATCTGAATTTCCACTTAATTCAAAATACTTGTGAAAGTGGACTGCATTTACATGCTGAAAGTGTCTCTTTCATTACAATGTACCAGTGGTAGTCACTGCTGGGAAGTTAACAATTTGGTTTCTCAGAAACTGGACAGCAGCTTTAGATATGTATTTAAAACTACAAAGAGGTAAGTGGCAAAATGAAGTAGATGTTTTAGTCATTTTAACATTGACTACATGAAAAGATTATGGTTTCTCTACTGATTTCAGAATGAAGGCCTGCAATTAATCTTTGGAAAACTTTTATATCTGTTATTTCTAATTGGTATGATGCTTTTGGCTATATTTAGGGCCACATAATAAATACCTACGCTGGGATATATGTGTGGCATGTTGCTTTTGCCTATATTTAAACTGGATACATTTTGCCACCTTTTGTTGTCAAGCTAGAACATTTGATAACACGGTTGACAAGTAGAAATCCTGGATTAATACAGTAAATCTTGCACCATTCATTTGTTAAGTGGTCTGGAATTTACTGAGTACCCTGCACAATCTTGCCATTGTTAATTCAACAACTAAAATGCAGTTTATTGAAAATACTGACTATGGGACATATTAAAAGCAAATTATACAAATCATCTTTAGCAGTTTCCTCATCTAGAAAGGGCAATTGATTTAAAAATGAAAGACAAAGACGATTACAAGTCATCTTTAAAATTTTACTATTTTGTTAAAACAGGGACCTGAATCTGTTGTGCAAGTATGCCCTAAGTACTGAGAGACACACAGATACTAAAATGAACAAGAAACTCTGCTAAAGAATGCCTGGATGAGTAGCGGTATAGTTTTATGCACTCGTTTCAGTTTCAAGCTCTAAAATAGTGCTGACAATCCTATAGCATAGCAAATACTGCAAATTGTGATGAGCCATGTAGAACTGCATTGTGGTTCTTAAAGCACATGAGCTATGTATGCTTTTGTAGCTCTTGCCACTAGGACTTACCTCAATGTGATTTTTACAGATTCTGAATCAAGATCCATATCTTCGTATTTTTCTTACCCAGAATCTTACATGGAGTTACATAAGTTTAAAAAAATCACCTTAACTAAATCAAGAGCAGCAAATGAGCAGGACTGTATGCTCTTATTACCTTCTGTGCAAGAAATATCCATTGTATCTTCTATTCCATAGGTTCAGTCTGTGAAGTAAATAATTAAAATGAAATTAGCTATTTTACATTAGAGGAAAAAAATAATTATCAGCACCAATGCTTGTACTCAAAACCATCTAGCTGTTTAGTTAGATTATGTTAATTTTCTCTTTAGTATAATACTAAAGGAGAACACTATCAGCGTCAACTCCAGCATCAGTTTTTATAGTTTAAGCAACATTCTCTATTTCACACAGCTTATTTTTGCTTTTTAGATGATCTTTCTTTCCTTTGGATAAATCTGCTCAGTTTGGTAAATGCTGTAATCATACCAAGCTAACTGTATAAATCCACCTGCTGAAATTTAGCAGAGTCCCATTTTGAAACCTCCCTATCATACAGATTGAAAGAGGACATTTACTAGTAACAGTGGACCAAGTTCTTTTGATGTATCATAAGACAATTCGAAAATACAAACAGCATAATTTAACTAACAGATACTTTAGGCAGATCAAGGATCACTGATTTTGCTAACACGCTATCTATACGCAGTGTGCTAAATTTTAAAGATAGCTCATCTCCCTGCATTTTCCAGAAATCCTTATCAGCAATATTTAATCTCCTTCTGTTCTGACACACCCTATGCTTGCAGCCATATATGCTCTAACTTTATCTGTAAGGTTGTAGATAATCTTGAAATAATCACAATAATTGCATTTGAAAGCATTAGAAATAACTACAGCACACTTTCTCAACACAATTTGCTGACGATAACTTTCAAGCAGCACACATTTAAATAGTTGTCTTGCCGTTAAGCTGCATAGACATTTTGGCCAGCAGTTGGGAGTGAACAATGCTGTGAGCAACAGCACATTTAGCTGCGTGGTGCCAGGTTCTTAATCGTTTTCTATTAGCTGAGCACAACTTGCAAAGCATGAGCACTAACTGTTCAAAGGGTGAGAGCAGGCAAACATCCAGTAAAAGAGCAAAGCCCACATTAGAGATCACACAAAGATTTATCAGAAAGATTTGGTGTCCACAGCAAAAAGTTACATTCTGAAAACATGAAACAGACACTACAGCTATTCGACTTTACTGATCCATGTTCATTTTATCTTGCCACGAGACTTCCTTTCTACTGTCTTCTTTGGCTGGAACAAAAGAAACCAATTTTCCTTTTTAATCAATGAATTTTTGTTTGAATGAACGGAGTAAGTCAAAATGCTTTGTTTGCCTGTGGTAGATTCTCCTGTGTATTCTTCAATCTCTACATCTAACAAAAGTCATAATCCAAGAGTCCTTTCCTAATATTGGGGATCCAAAGTCAAGAAAGCTTGTGCCCATTAGTGTTTTTTTCTTTTAAAAGTAAAGACATTGCAAATTATTTTGCTTTTGATAGGCTATTTACACTTACATTCTAAATAAGCTTCTGTACTGTATGTACCATTAAGGATGGGAAATTGAATAGAAATATAAAAGTAATGCAAGCAGAGATACACAATTCCAGAGGCAGAGTGCCCCTAAAAATCCTTCCTCTCACACTTCTGCAATGCTATACTTCTGTATATGCAGGAGGAATTAGGGGAATAAAAAAAAAAAAAGAAAGGAAAAGCCACCCCAAAACCAACCACCAAGTATTTTTCTACTTAGCTTTACTTGAACACATCCTGAGACAGTAACAGTGATGAGCTACTTCCTGTTTTTTTCTATCAAAGCACAGTGTAGAGAGCACTTTAGATGGCATTTAGACATTTGCCATCAATTATACAGCCTATAAAAATTGATATGAGCCTAGTTGAGCAGCTCTTACTGAAGAAAACAAACTCGATTGCTACATGTTCTACTTACTTCATATAAAATATTTCATTTAAGCAATAAAATAAAAATATTTTTGTTATTTCTCTGACAAAGATGAATCAAATTATTTGCTCCTTGCCTAGACTATCTGCTCTGATTTTTCATGGCTAGATTAGCAGACCTTAAATCTGCAAGGCTATAGAAGGGAGAATTAATTTCACTACACATTGAAGAGGAAAAAAACCCAAACAAACCACACAGAGAGAAGCCCTTTAAGCTACTGAAACTGAGCACTCCAACAGGCAGCTCCATGGAACAAGTCCATCTTGTCTTCTCTGTTGGCTTCAGGAGACACAGAATAGCTACCCAGCAGCAAGGGATGCCATCTTCCAAACTGAATTCCTATGTCCATGAACGGGCTAGTGGTTACAGCCCAAACTTTCCATCATGTCTACATGAGGAAAGGGCATGAGGTTAGAAGCATGCCTCCCACACATTCACATAGCTGGGGGGAAGGTATCACGAGATCCTGCAGTTTAAGAGAGCTCCATGATAAGGATTTTGCTTTTTCAGCTGCTATTGCAAAGGTTAGGTCCCTTAGGTAGCTGATGACAATTAACAGCATTTGAAGGGTACCAGATGATGAATTCTCAGTAAAATCTTAAGTTCAGTAGCTCACTTAATTATTAAATCAACACACCATCACTATCCATGGCTGAATTGTTTTTGTTTTGTCTGATACAGTAGTATTTCTTTTTAAAAATCTCTCATTACTTATCTCTGCTCTCTGTACTATACTTGCTTTACACCTTTCCATGCAAGGCAACAAAAGATAAAGCTTCTCTACAAATAACAAACTTTGCAGTTTGATCTACACAAAAGAGTGTCAAACTTTCCTTGAGTTTCATAGCAATATTCAGTCAGCTCAGGTTTACAAGCACCATATTAACACTGGCATTACACATGCTTGAGTGCAAGAGCACTGGAGGTTCAATCTCATGAACAAGCTATTCTCTTGTAATTTCAAGTGACCTGTTTTCTTACAATCAAACAGAAAATCAAACTTATGAAGAAGTGATTTATAAAGACAGGTTGCATACTAACTTGCCGTTACACCCACAAAAAGGAAACTAATCCAATACCTTACCTGTGGCACTTCTTTAAGGAAGTCAGGAAGCTGAAATTCACCTTTGTAGACCTGGAAAAACAAAAATAATATACTACTCAAAGCTAGCATTCACTACTGTTTGAAATGCTAAGGCGGGGGGGGAGTCTTTTGGGTTATTAGCATCCAGTAACGCTAAAACAGATCTACCTAAACTGAGCACAATCTATTTGTAATAGCAAGTTTCATTCACAAGGCTTGGTCATCTGAAGTAGTTCTACAGCTGTAGGCCCAGTCCCAGGCTTCCTCTGCACTCAACACTCTGACCTTGTTTGCACTAAAATGGTCAGACTATGTAACTCATATTACATTTCAGGCTTGCTCAGATTAATTAATTAAGTCCTGTACAATCCATTCACTATACTTTTAGAAAAAGATTTTTAACAGGATGATTAAATATGCCAGGAGTGGGTTGCTACAATATGTATTTTTGAAGTTTATATATAACAAATCTGTTGCTTCACGTTTTAGCACCTTCAATAAATTAAGTTCCCTTTAGGCTTAATTATAATTCACAATTAAAAGATCTTCCATTTAAAGTTTTTCAAAAGAGCTACCTGTCATGATCTCAGGGACTGTGTCAGAACAGATATACCAGCCAGGCAACAAACAACATTCAGTTCTCAAAACATTTATATTTTACAGTTAAGAAACTCAACAAATGTCACATAACACAACATTTTCTGATGTACATAATGAATACCGTGACAAAATATATATCATTCACACACGTGTCACACTGAACAATTGATCCCATCTTGCTATGCTGTCAAAGGTAAGTTCTGTTAGTTTTGATATAGTTCGAGACAATGCGACTACAATCAAGGTCTGAAAATGCTAACAACTTAGGTTTCAATACTGTTAAAATGGTCAACACTCAAGGAGTGTCAGCGTCTCCTCTATTTTACACATTATCTATCCCTTTATTCTACATACCTAGCTGGTGTAATTTTCAGGTAACAGAAAAGTTTACACATTTGCTTTAATCCTCAAAGATACACAGATACCATTATAATAGATACAGATATATTACTAGCAATTTTCCCCAAGTACTCTGTGTTAGACCCTGAGTCATTTAGCAAACATAATGTGTGAGATCAGACACCTAACTCCTTCTCCCACAGGCTGTAACCACACATCTAAAATCCCCAGCTCCTGGAGGGAGAACACAGGGTTGGAGAAGGCTTAAGTTTTCCTTTATGATTTTCATACCATTTATTCATTAATTTGCTTTTCATCTACAGAAATGTAAAACAAAAATAAAAATAAAAATAATCAGTGGGATAATCCTTTCCTATTTGGACTAGATCATCATTGTAGGTCCCTTCCAACTGGAATAGTCTATTCTGTACTAACAGACACATAGATTTAATAGCTTCGTATATGAGTACAGAAGAGCTCCACTTATTAGTAGGGCTGTCACAAAGTTACAGTCAGCAACTCTTATGATTATGAATTTCTAGAACAACTGTAGCCTCATTACCAGCCTCACTTCGTGAGTTTGTCTTTTCCACAATTTCCAGTCTTTCAGAGCATAATATTAATTCTGAAAGAACGCTGTTTGGAGAAAAAGCGAGCAATAAATATCCTCAAACATACCAACAGCCCCACCAAACAAGTGTTTGCACTGTCTGACCAATTAGGAAATAAATTGGCAACGTATTGTCTTCTTTCTAGAGGATACTTCTTAAAAGCTGTTTGCTTCTGAGATTAAACTGAAATACGTTCCAAAGGGCGGGGGGGGGAAGTATTCCGGGGTTTGGTTTGTTTTTTGCAAAAAGAATTCTACTTGAAGAGTTTTACCATCCTTTCTACTGAACCAAAAAGACCGAACGCCATAACGTCATCATGAGTTCTTTGCAGTCTTGTGTAGCTGTAATCACACAAAAATCAAAAGCTGCAAACCTACTTAGAAGTCCATAAAGCCATAAAATGGAAAATGGGCTACTCTAAAGCCTCGCTCAGAGATGCACTCCCTGGTTTGCAAATTGTGTCAAAGGAAGAAGATTCAGGAAGTCAAGGGCCGCTTATTAACAACATCCTTTTTCTCCGCTTCCCTATGAATAGATGATGAGCATATAAAGATGTACTCATTTTGTCAATATATTGCAGTGGCCTAGGACTGCAGCTGAGTCAGCTCAAAATTTCCTGCGTGTAAGACGCCTCACCCCACAACAGGCCTGCAGCATTAAACCATATGACTCATGTGGAGTGGACTTCAGAGCTGGCAGTTCTTATCACTCTATTGCTAGGCTAAACATATCCAAACAACAAAGCTTCACTAACCCCCAACATGAGAGTAGGAATTACTACACACATACATCACAGAATTCTGTTCCTTCCGATATTCCATGTTTTAGATAAAATAGAAAGGCTGAATCAAAATCACAGGCAGAGCTCTCATTTATATTCAGCCAGGAGGTACTGTCATTCCCATGGAAACCTTAATGAAAGCCACGCTGGTCAAAAATTCAGTGTGTGGCTTACTGGAGCCTAGATATACTATAAATATTTATAAATTAAGGAGGAGTATTTCATATTTTCAGCTTTTAACCAAGCCATTAAAATGCAGGCTGTGTTCTAGAGAGCAGAAAGGGAAGTTACCTATCAACAATATCATCACATCAAAAAACACTACAGAACAACTTAGACAAGGTTCACAAGAAAAAACAGTATCTTTTATTAGACTAGTGCTGATATTGGAAGAAACAGACAGGCTTCTTCAACTTTTCTGACAAACCACTACAGTCATTATCTGGGAATTCTTAAAAACAGTTAATACTGATGATGATCGCACGTTGTGACTGATTCAGAACCAGAGCGACCAAAACCACGTTTGTCTCTCTGGAAGTCGTCTTCTTTCCTTCTCCAGCAGTTATGACTTGGTCTAATTTTTATATTATATATCTGTATATGTATGTCTGCTCTAAAAACTTTACCATTGTAATGTCCTTTGTAGGAACAGCATTTACTCCTAGTAAGCATCTAATAGTGGATAGTCAAGGGTATTCATCCATCAGCAATATTAATAAAAAACAATTACACTAATGTCATAGCCTGGAAAAATAAAAAATGTTTCAGGGGCATTTGATATTATATGCATACAAAATATCACAATTTACAAAGGCAAATCGAACCAATGATAGGCCCAAGATTAGGTTTAACACACAAGTGTGCCTAATTTTGGTTCAGAACTGATGTTATCTAGAATGCTGGTTTTGTCAAGATTGAGACTGCATAGAAACTGGTTTAAAGTAGTTCCAAAACCAGTAAGTGGTCCCTTTTGAATCAAAACCCAGGGATTAACTGCAATCCAGAAATTCTAAAAACAATGACTCCATCTGCAGCCAAAAAAATTAAGAGGTTTCAGATTCAAAATTCTTTTCTGACCAATTTCTAAGTCTAAAACACATTATTCAGAGAGTGGCAGCAGAAAGGCAGACGCTGGACATTTGAATGATTTCCAGTCTAAGCAAGAATTCAGTAAAATTGAGCAGAAATGGTATTTACCATTTCTAAGGGAATTATTTTGCAAGTCCAAATGGATTTCCAAGGGGAGGGGGAATCTGAAGTCTGTGTCAGTTGGTTGTTCAGTGTTGGCACTATTCAAGCTGTTCTATTAAAAAAAAAAAAACGAAACACATTCTTATAGCCAAACTGAATGCATATTATTTGCAAAAAGAGCTCAGAAAACAAGTTTCACATCCAGTTGTCTGAGAAAACCCTTGTAAATAAAAAACCCTTATAAAAACACAAGGAAAACTTAACAGAAGTGTAACTCAAGTGTAACCTATAATTCATCTTTATAGAAGATTAAAGCACTCCTGTTCACCCACTTTCAAGCCTGGTTTTTGAGTCACATTGTATTTGGTCAGTTCCAGTACACAGAGATAATTTTTTGTCTAAAAGTTAGCCTGCAAGTATACTTGGGATTGGTAGATTTTTCAAAACATCAAAGTTGCAGAGTACAAGGCTATCGATGTTTAATTGTCAAATAAAATAAAAAAGGAACATTGGCGAACCCAGAACAGAGCCCCTTTCTAGAAACAATCCTTTTCTGCACAGTACATGGAGGTACCGTCATCTTGCTCTTTCAGACTTCCCTTAACTTTTAAGGCAGCTTACAAGGCTTATGCAATTCTTCACCTCTTCGTTGAAACTGCCAAGAAAGGGGACATCTGAGATGTAAATATTTACCTAGTAGGAACAACACAGAGAGCAAGGCTTTAGACAGACCTATGAATGTCTGCCAAAACACAGCTTGCAACCATACCCAATGTTGTATTTTGTTTGTGAATAACTCTGTATGCCTTACTAATCATGTATATGCATAGATGGTTTTTAAAAGGGAAAAAAAAAGAGGTATCGGCACCTCTGGAGAAAAAAAAAATGCAGTTAGGAATCCACACGCTGGAAGAAACACCCACTAAAGAGGGCATTAAAGGACACTGAGAAAGTCCGTGCTGTTGGTGGTCACAAGACAGATGAAATAAAAACCCCAATTTTTGTTTTAAATATCAGAGAAAATGCCCACAAAGCCAAATGCCTTTTTGCTTAACCAGTATAAGTAGAAATTCACAGCCTTGAACAGCCTGTCATTACAGCATAGCTCCACAATTACACATCTTTGACAGCACACATAATTATTCTCATGCATTAGTCTAAATATACTTTGCATCCTTTATCATAGATTGTTTCTGTCTTTAAAACCTCAAATACAAAGTCTTGAGATCATGATTGTCATGGACGTCTCGACTCTTAGCAGCAGCAGACATTTCCTCACAATTTAAAACAGGCATGAAACAGGAGTTAATAGAACTCTGTTTTTTCCTCTAGATGTTACTGCAGAAAATACCATCAACAGAACATAAAACAGAGATAGATAACAGCTTTCAGATGTGATTAGAAGAAACCACACATATTTAAACAGTCATGATGAAAACCATAGTTTTTTCTATAGAGTTCTGTATACTTCCGTGTCTCGATCTCTCCAGGGCAAGGAACGTAACTTTATGAAGAAGTTAAAAGAAATG